TCAAGCTCAGGTCGGGTATCGACGACCTCGCCGATAAGATCTCCTCCATTCACAAATGGGTGGTATACTTCCTCTGATAAGAGAAAACCATGATTGGCGACTGTCAGCATTTCTTCGCCCGCGAGATTGCGAATTTTGATACCACACGTGGTTGCAGCGTTTGTGAATTCGGTTAGGGCACCTGGTAGCCCAAAACCACTCTCGATTCTACATCCTGGTGTAAGAACCGACTGCCGAAGGTAGTTTGAATCATCTTGTGGTGCAGCACTAGCAGCCGATACCAGGGATGGGTCAATAAAGCGAGGGCGGGTAAGGCTTCTCATAGTGCTAGAAAACGGTTCATCTCCATGGTGGTAGAGTGCTGTTCGGCCTGCCACGACCCCGGGAAGGGATTGCTTTTCGTAGCTCCGGCCATCTCCAAACTCAAGTTCGAAGATAGTCCAAGCCGGGAGAAAAATAGCAGCTCTCACACGAGCAAGTGGCGCGATGGCAGTAAGCACAGCAACTATCTGACGCTTAGTCGGATTGGTCAATTTGGGCCACCGGATAGTGGGACAGGGATCGGGAACACGATGATTCGAATATCCAGATAAGGGGATTAGTTCCCTAAACATCTCACCGGGGCGCACGAATATGACAGGCATCGTTCCAAGGGTCAGTGGTATTGGCTGGGGTGGAGAAGCCGTCTCCACACAAATAAGCCACCCGGAGATATGCACTGTTCCCTCCCCGAACTTACTACGGATCCAGGTCCAGTCCTGACGTGAGGGGTGGCAGAACTTGTGGTTTTGCTCGTCCCAAAGCGTGAACGGCGCCATGTCATTCAAGTGACGTGCACCCCAGCCGCCGGGATTTTCCCAGCGTTTTTGTTCTGGGTGGGAGTGGGGGAGCATATCCCGTAAGTGTTGGGTGTTTTCTCGGGCGCGAAGCGGACTAACAGGCGCATTATCATATATGTTGGTGTAGGGTGAGCTTTGTTGGATACACTGAACGTGTGGGGAAAGGCGGATCGGAGATGCTATCGGAGTTGCCATTATGCTGATTGCTGAGGGGTTAATTAATTATCGCTGCTGCTCGACGACAAAGGGTCAGAGTTGTGGCGCGTGCTGTACCCGGATCAAGGTTCAGCCGACCCAGGTCGGGATCCACCGACAGAACTGGTTACCCATTCCTTACATAAGCAGTCTAGTTCGTACTGGTCGGTTGACCATCCTAGTTCGTCTCGTTGGTCCTGAGTCTAGCTCGGATCCCTTCTAGTTCGTCCAGTTGTATTGTCACGTGTAAAATCTCTCAGAGTGTCGTAGGTTCCAAGGTTTCGGTCTTGAGCCGTGATGAGCTAAAGCCTGTTTACCGCCTAGGCAGGGGCATAATTACTTGACCATAGATGAGTCAGGGGGGTCCTACTAGTTAACTAGTTACATTACTTCTATCTGCATAGTTATAGCCATGAAGTATTACTAGTATATAATTAGTAAAATACTCTATCATTCCCACTTACTAGACTGCGCCCATAACCGCAATTGGGGGCAAAACCTCACCCCAACCCCCAAACCGCATTAGGTGCGGTTTCAAACAGCATAAATCGCACCCAATTAAAAAGTAATAAATACTCAGTGAGCGGATCAGACCACTCAGGGGCATGCTCAGTTTTACTCAGTGAGCAAAAAGCGGCAAGGCCTGAGCACTAAAACGGAAAGGGAACGGCAAGAAGTGGCAGAGGAAATCAAGTACGTAGGTACTTTCTATGAGCGCCATGGTGGATCCGTATCGGATATCAGACCGCGGACCACAGCCCCTCGTCCACGGGTACTGGCAGAAGGTTCATCTAATCAATCTACGGCGCAGCGGATTTCTACCGAACCAGGCTATATTCAAAGAGACAAGCACCCACTGATGCCCGATCAAATCTCAACCACAACTGTTTCTGTACTAGGGATACTTTGTCTTAATGGAATGCAGATATAAATAGCTCCTTGTTGGATGGCAATAACTCAGATCTACTTCGGTCAAATATATTTAGCTCTCTTGAAGCGTGGATACCAAGAGGATTGGCAGAGATATCACCAATGCCAGATAATATATCATACATTCTAGGGGTCTGATTGCTCCATATGGCTATAGAAAATCACAAGGAAAAAAAGGAATATACAAATGAAAAGAACGCATTCGAAATGTCATCTCAGATCCGTCAATCATATAAACATCCCTGCAATTCCAACCGCCAACCCGAAGACCAGATCATGGAGACTCGACATCCGCACAGGAGAGGCGTCATTCCCATTTGCATCCGCACTGCCAGTCTGTGTCGCAACGGAGCTACAATACCCCAAGTTAATACCATGGCAAGCCTCCACGCTCAAGCTCGAGCAAATGGAAGTTGCCTGTGACGCAGCTGTGACAGCCTGGACCGTCTTGCCCTCCCCAGCACCACCAATAGTGACGCCGTAGCGGCCCATCAGCGCGCCAGTGCACTGTGCGTACTCAGACTGACACACGGAGTAGTAAGATGAGCAAGTCTCAGCATTTCTGAAAGAGGTCGGGACAACGACAAATGGGTATGCGCCGTCTAGTTTCGATCCGGTAATGGCCGCCGCCCCGCTCTCAGTGGCGGTTGCAGTTGCGCCGCTGGGGAACATGAACATGGTGCCTGTTCCCGTCGTCTTCGTGCCTGTTAGGCTACCGGTGCAGCTTGCACCGCTCGCGCAGCAGGCGATGTTGTTGGCGTCATCGCGTGAGCAGTTCGTTCCGTGCTTACAGCATGCGTTGGCGTTGCCCAGTTCGCTGCAGGGGGTGAAGCCGCCCGGGCAGTTGTTGTCGGCTCGTCTGAGGATTCGGAGGACTTCGAATGCTCGTTTGTTGGCTGTGAATTCTTCTGCTGGGGTGAAGGGTGCTGTCTCTGTTGAGTGGGCGGTCGAGGTGAGGGATGTGGCAGCAATCCAGATCCACCGGGAAGCCCGCATTCTCGGGTTCTGGGGGCGGGGTTGGAATGGTCGGTTTGGGAGAATGGGCTGGAGGTTTTGTTTGGTTTAGGTGAGTTTAGTGGTTTATTCTCATGCTTCGTTTCGTCGTTGGAGGCGTTATCCGGGGTTGAGCTCGGGTGTCAACAAACTACTGAAAGGAGTAAGATTAGCTTTTCACCGGTCGCGACGGGTATGATGAAAACTCGCCACTTGGACATACCCGAATACCTATTGTCTGGAGGGAGATTCTGTAGATTCTAGAAAAGATCAGGGTTTAAAGAACAAATGATGTAGTTCTCAGATCAGGTCACAAATCTCCACCGGGATGTCCTAGCAACCGCAGCCCGACCCCTCTAGACCCGAAGCCCAAGGCTATATTACATTAATTTCTATCAGTTAATGGGAGCACTGGTAATATGTATTGAGACAATTTCAATAACTCCTGAAATATTACTATTATATCTTACCCGGTCAATAGGCTACAGTGACGCAGCAAAAGTTTTAACAACACCAGCCCCACACCGTCTAATTACATAATATTCTGTGATCGCAAAACCTCCACCAAAACTCCATGATATTGATAAATCTACCAGATAACTAGCTAGTGCCCCCTATAGGCCCTAGTAGGGCGTATACCACCCCTCTGATTCAATGATTGCCTCAACCCTATTAGGCATGGTCTCTGAGAGGTGCTCTAGGTGCCGCATATCAATGTTCTGCCATGCAATTTGCGCAGTTTCTACTAAGATCCGCTTGGTCTCATCGTTGTTCTTCATATGCATAAGATCAGGGCGAATCTTATAAATCTCTGCCTTTAAGAGCGCCCAGAGGTTCTCAATTGGGTTAAGATCAGGCGAATCAGGCGGCTATACCATCACCTCGATCTCCATCTCAGCTAACGCATCGCGTACAACGTACGCAGTATGCGTTCGTGCGTTATCATGCATAAAGATACCATCCTCAGCAGGTAGCAAGGTAGGAAGCACCCGGCGATATAGCTCCTCAATCACGAATCGGTTAACGCCGCCACGCTCTGATGTAGGATCTCCGAATAGGGGTATTAAGCCCGTACGTCGAGAGGCCGAGAAAGCAGCCTAAAACATCTGCTTAACCTGCTTACCGCGGTGCGGTAATCCCTGACATTCGCCCTTTTTCGGTTGATCCCGAGGGCGAATAAATGTCCATTCGCAGCGTATACCAATCCCACGCTCAATAGTACACTCATCAGACCAGTAGACACGGGCCTAATCAGCAGGTGGAAACGATCGATATCGTAGTGCCCACTAGAGCCGTTTTACTACGTGTCCATCATTGAGATAGGGCCTCCAGGAGCATCGCCACTTTCGCATATTCTCAGCGTTTAATAGGCGCCGGATTGAATCTTTTTTGACCTTATAAGATACCTCAGAAAGTAGGTCCTCATAGGTAACACGCGGAGTTTCGGTAATAACGTACAAGATTCTAGCTTTATCGTCCTCGGTAAGCTTCTTCGGGCGACCGGAACGAGGTTTTGAAACACCCATTCGGGGCTCAGACTCTTTTTTTGATAGTATATCGAATAGTTGAGATAGATATCTAGGGGTGACGCTGGTGAATGCGGCTATACCCCATTGGATAGCATGTAGCTCACAAATACGCTCTCGGAGAGCTGGTGTCAGCTCTTTTGAGCGACCCATCCTATATAGTAGCTAGAGATAGTTAGTCGATAGAGATAGGATATGTGTAGATGCGTGTATAGAGAGTAATTCAACACAATGTCGCGTTGCGCGTTTCTTAGCGTTGTTTTCTACTACGCGTTTTTGGAAGGCGGTGGATTATCAATATAGGCGGCCTGAAAGTGGGTCCCAGGGTGTTGTTAAAACTTTTGCTGTGTCAGTGTATATCCCTAGAAATCGTATATCTTTACATTTAGCGTATAAGTAATCTCTAACAGTAGTTAGAAATAGTACCGGTTAAAGGAGCTTTTACGTATAAGTATTAGTTGACACGGTGAGCGGGCCGCTGGAAACGGCTCCCATTGCACTCCGCTAAGGTTCCAAACTAGCGAGTTCCAGTAACCGTCACTCGCAACCCAGCATTCCTCTTTTTGGGGTGACCGAAAGCGTACTCCCGGTAGTGATTCATATCTTCCGGCGTAGTTTGGGCCAGCTCCAGGTCAAAACGACGGACGATAGCAGCAAGTCCAAGATAAATCTCCGCATACGCAAGACTTGATTTACGTCAGTATCGAGTAGAAATAGGTGTGTATGTATCCAAAACTCACTGCATTCCGAGACACTGCCTGGTTCCTTTCGAAAAGGGAGCCAAACATGTCTCCAATCGATCTCCTTGCTCCTGAGCTCGGATCCAACGTTCGGGGTCAAATCGATATGGTTCTGGGAAGATTTCGGGGTTTGTGTGGAGGAAGTGAATGGATTGGCTGACAGCACTCTATAGTGGTGGTTAGCGAGGGCTTTCCTGGCAGGCCGGGACAGTCATACACCAGCCGGGATTACCCAATCCTTATATTTCATGTTTGCGGTGGGGTCCGCCCGCGTGAGTCTTTGTGAGTGGCTCATGAAGATCCGAAGGCCTTCATTGATTACTCCTCTCTAACTGATTGTTAGACTTTATTGTACAGAAGATAGACCGTGTCTTGAATTCCCCTACCATATAGGGCAAGCGTTCGAGCTCAGACCAGGATGTTTGGTCGGGGTGCAGGTCCAGTTCCTTGCGGAGCTTTGACAACATATCGGGGCTGTGTAGGAGATTGAAAATGATCGAACTCAATGTTGAGGCTGTAGTTTCTACTCCAGCCATCAAGATGATCATACCTTCATCAACCAGCCGGTTCAGAGACCTCTCCACAGGGGGAACAGTCGGATCAATGAGTGCATCAAAAACTGTTTGATCACATTCCTTATGAACCTCTTTGTTTTCGAGTGCTGCCTGGGAGGTTGTTCGAACCAGTTGCTTCAAACGAAAGGTGGCTTTAAGAGCAGGGTGAACTTTTGACAGCAGTCGTTCCGGGATCGAAGAAAACACGGTAGATGAGAAAGGAACCCACCGCGGGATATGGATAATGCTAGCCAGGTTAGAAACTCCCTGCTGAATATCATTCTTGAAGTCCGGATCATCGAGGTAGTTGACGCTGAATCCATATGAGCACTCGGAAATGACATCGGCCGTTAATGCCGCGAATGCAGCACCCAGCGGGAAGACACTTCTAGTGGAAACAACCTCTTGCATTCTATCGCAGAGCTTGTCAACTTTTGATTGAAGCACCGAATCCAAATTTTGGACTGCCATTTTCGAAAAGTAATTCGCCACTGGGCGGCGACGGGCAGCATGGAGATTGTGACCGACTGTTACAACCATTGAGGTTGGCAAGAAGGCTGCTAGAGCCGGCATGGGGACTTTGTCTCGAGTGCCGCCAAACAATTCTCCATAGTAATCCGGGTCGCTGATGTGAAGTTCGTTGGGTGTAATGCGAACAATGGGACCTAGATCGTTAATATGGTTTCTGGGGAATTCTCTGGACTAGGTGACTTACCGTATTTTTCATGCATCCTTTCCATCTCCCGAATGAACATGCCTCCCTTAAGGACGCTGTAGTAGAATTCATAAATGCTACTGATGGCAGCGAGCTTCGGGCCAGGAAACTTGCTGAGCGGGTGGATATATAGCCGATATATGGTCCTTCCCACCAAAAAAAGAAGAATTGCGACAATCAAAGTGATCATCTCGAAGATTTTGGGATGGGGAGAGTATTGGAAATCTGAATTTTCCCTTATCTTTTAGGACAAACTGTGCTTTAAAGAAAATTTGAGTTGGGCGCAATCTCGACAGGTCATTTCACGGCATGCTATTTACGTACTTCTAACCCTCGCCTTTCAATTCTTTTTGTCTCACTGCCCGGAGCTTTTCGGGAACTGCAGCATTCGCCAAGGCTACAAGGCTTGCGATCCTGTCCATAAAGATATGTATTAATTGCCAGCTAGGTAGTGGGGACGGCTTACTATACCTTCCCGCTATAGCGCGCCATTGCTACCCACCGGGGGCCGAAACAATATGTGGATCATTCTACTAGCAACAACGCTAATTAAATTCGCTCGAGTTTTCAAAAGGACATTACAGGAAGAATGGTTTATTATGATCAATTCTTTGCTTCGAAATTGGATTTCTTTCATAAACATGCCTTGACAAATCTAAATCTGTCATTTCCTTATCTTAGGGATCGTTTTCCTTTATCCATGTATTTCCCGACATGTAGCATTATAGTAACTCGGTATTCGATGAATTCAGACTGACTTACATAACAATAACAATTCACAGATGAGATCCTACTCTTCACTTAGATCTAGATAATTCAGGAGCTTCTGGATCCCGTCGCCTTGCCCATCCACCATGCATCCTTCAATCATATCCCTAGCTTCCTGAACTAGACACGCAAGCTTCTTTCGACAATACAGGAAGCTACCCGTCGACTCCATATATCGAACAGCATGGCATTTCAGGGAGTATTCTGTACTCCGTTGTCGCAGAATATTCAGAAGCTGATGGTCGTTGGGATTGGAGCGAACGCTGTGAATTATGAGGAATGAAAACTTACCCTCGGACAGGTCTTCGCAAAAGCCCTTGTTATCAGTGTAGCTTTTGCTCTGTAGATTCTGATAATCATCGCGAATTTGAAAGATGAGTCCGAGTTTGTCCGCAAGGGGAAGAAGATCCCTATAAACGTAAGTTCCACTGGATGATAGACAGAGGAATTGACATACAATGAGCTATCACTCTCTAGTTGCATCAACTTCAGAGCCAGTCGAAAAAGGCCTCCTGTCTTCTGGGATACCATAGTCAGGTACTCCTCCTCCGACGGACAAATCAAACAATCACGCCAGTAAAGATCCTTTCCCTGACCCAGGTGAAGATTCAAAAGCTCTTCGGTAAAGACATGAAACGCATCCGGCTTCAAATGAATTAGCTCTTGCTGGGCCAGAAAGTAGGCATAGTTTGCTGAATTAATTGTTTGCGGAATCCCGTACACTTTGTGGGCAACAGGAAGGCCTCGTCTGAGTTCTGAATCATCTTGAATATCATCGATCCTATTATAAGGCTCGAATCAGTTATTTGCGCGGAATTAAGGCATGTTTGATCATACAGAAGTGACGCAGTGTGCAATAATTCCACAATATGGTTGATGACATCCAATTTGTCCGCGGGTACTTGGAGTGATTGGTTAAATGCACTTATTAACTGTCTCCTGAAGTCCTTTCCAGGTGCTGACAACAGATAGTTCAATGGCCCTCGCACAACCTGATTATTGTTTAGCTGGAACAGTTCAACAATGATTTTATTCTTACCTCATGGAACTTATCTGAAGGATATTCCATAGATAATGGTGTGAAAGCGTCGGCGGATTCCTCGCTAGTCTGCGATGGGATTCCAGGAAGATGGTTTAGTTTATGGCCTGTGTCGTCTTCCAGGGGGACACTCGAAACAACTTCCAAATGCATATTGAATGGCTGTTTTTTTAGTTGAACAGCGGGAAGGCTAAATGAAAGAGCAAAAACGAAGGACGAAAGATGGAACATGGAAGAGGGAGGCCATGTCTAATTACAATAGATGCCTAAGGGCAGAACTTTTAAACCAAATTTTAATTTGCCAGGAGAATTTCCAACTACTTCTTTGATCCTTGGCCTCACTACAAGCCAGCCTTTCCACACAACGGATAGTGTGTACAGAAAATTACAGCATAAGTAAAGTATACTAGCTCTTCGAATGCCAGACATTTGACGGCCGGCCCCACATCCGACGGCCCCCGGGGCCAGGTCGGTCCAGAAACCAAGTGACAACGTAACTATTTAATGGATCTAGTTATCACAAATCACCAATTTATCATTACCAGGCACCTAAAAAAGAAGCTATTGAATGGATCTATACCGAATCCTTACTGTTACCCCGTTGAAGGATCTGAAAAGTGGATTTTGAAAACAGTGGCTTTGTCGAGCCGCGCTATATGCTTCTTACTGAACACTACAAAAGGAAACATTTGCCGAGAAGATAAATTGAATTGGGAGAGACTCCGTACAATGCTGTTATTCCGATGGAAGCAACTCGATAGTTAACCGAATTCTAACCTGAGACCTCGGTCTCGGCGAGGATCCGAGAAATGAAGTTTTGAAACACTGCTCGAGTGGCTTTAACAAGGCTTGTAAAATGTTTGCATTAGTGACCACTAGGAACTTTCATGGTGGACATGCCCTAAACCTGAAATATATGAAAGCAAGGGTGAAATCACTTGTCCTCCCAAGTTGCGAGGGCTGACTATCTTTACACCGAGAAGGATTACACGGCTTGAGAAGTCGATCACTGGAAAACCAATCATGCACAAGACCAAGTGAGTTATGTATACATAATATAACCCGACTCGAACCACAAATCTAACACCGTCTAGTCAATTGACAGGTTACCCCCATGAACGGTTCATGAAAAATTGCCTCACATGGATAGGGAATGAGTTCCATGTTACCTACCTCCTCCTTCGTTCAAATGCCAGCCTCAGCATATCCCAGTTCTATGTTCTCCTCCTCGCCCGCCTTCTCGCCTTTCCATCCGACATGACAGCCACACCACGACTGCTTGTTGATCTGTCCGTCTCAGCAATGGCCTACGGTTACACCTTTGATATCATCAACCAAACCATGTCCGTTGATGAAGACAGGATCAACAAGCCATATAGACCCATCCCAGCCGGTCTTCTCAGCCTCAAACAGGCTAAAGTCCGATTGTTCCTGAGTGTATGTCTGTCTCCTTTGATCATTGGCGCCCTAGCGGGTCCATGGGCAGCATTTTGGATTATCTGCTGGATAGCATGGGTCACCTTCTGCTATGTGTGGCCGAAGGCCAACAATTGGTTTTTCCGCAATGCCTTCTCAGCTCTTGGGCATATCTTCCTGCTCAGGCTGATGAACGAGATTGTGTATAGCCATTTCTCTATCGTCAATACACGTTTCGATCAGGATGTTGTCAACGCTGCCCTCGCCATGGTGACTGTCCATGTCCAGGAGTTCCATGATGTGGAAGGAGACCGCAAGTCAGGACGTCGAACACTCCCGCTACTTCTGTCTGAAAAGGGGGTCGTCGTTCTTCGCCAGGTCACAGCTACGATCTTTATCATCAGCAGCGGCATAATTCTCATCTGGGGCTTCAATGTTTGCCCTGCGGGTGGCTTGCTTGATGTGCATTTTCTCGGACTGCTTTTTGCGGCAGCATCTCTGCTTACAGCGGTGAGAGTCACTCTCGGAACCCCGGAAACGAAAGCCTGGGATGAAAATACCTATAAGTTCTGCTATGTTTCTATTTTTCTATTTCTCGACGCATATCTGGTTCAGCTGAATAGGGCTATTTGTCAGGGCTAGGCTACTGTCATCCTTTAGGACCGAGTCATGCTTATTCCTTGCTCTATTCATGTATCTGGATTGTATGTTAAGTTTGACTGGAAGAGAATCTAGGGGGGAAGAAGACAAGATCGGGCTGGGAAGAAGGAAGCAATGAGAGTCGTGTTCTGTAATACTCGACAGGCGACCCGTCATTGAAAGACACGAATAGACTGAGTAGGGCAAGGACACAGTATCTAAAAACTCAGAATGTCTATAATCAATGTGGTACGGCGCGATTCAATGAGGTCTACAGCGGATCCGAGCTAGGTAGCCGGCGCGCGACCGTGACTCGCGCAAGTGAAGGCGCGTTGACCCCGATCCTAGACACAAAGTGAAAGGATTGAATCGGCTTGGACTTCAGGTCTACGGGCAGGACCGACGGTAATATGATGGTGGTGGCAGCCAACGGAGCATGCCAACAATGACGGTGATCACGCTGCAGTTTGTGTCTCAATGTTTAAAGCTGCGGTCGTCAAGTCAACGCTGGACCGTGAACCAATCACATTGTAAAAACGTAGAAACCCGGAACTCTGGGCACTTTCGTTGACAGAGTAGTTTTTGCTGGGGCCCGATATATCTGCACAAACTTTTCATCAATCAACGTTGCTTCCACGACTCTATAGACTTGACAACACTATTAGGAAATTCACATATATATATATAGTTTTCTCTCACTAGGGGTACGCCAGTGTCTGAAACATGAGGGGTGACAGGTCGAAAATGTTGAAATAGTACACATGTAACTATTAAACATATAACAAAGTGGGATAAAGGTTCTTGCAAAGCTAGCCCTACAAAAAGTACTGTCAGAACCACTGGTTTGCAGATTACCTTACTATCTAGCCATGGTCCTTATATTATTATCCAAATATGCAGAAACTAAAGGGAGAGACTATCGTTGTGTCAAAATGATCTTCCATCCGCACACGAGCAGATGAAGGGGTTGGATCTATTGATTCACGGTCCAACTGGGTGACAATTCATTCCAAGTCCACTTTCTATCCCAAAATATCTAGCAACTTCAATCAGACCTGGGCCTCCAACCTCGACCCAAAGATCGACAAACCCCTCTTCTCTGGCTCGTGCAATGTCGTTCTTATCCCAAGCTTCTTCCAAGTGTCTCTCGAGATAGATTGTCTGAAACCCACATTTTTTGGCGGCTTGCAAGTCCTCAAGATGGGCTGCGACGAGACAACATTGCGAATTCCCGAAACCGAATCTGCGAGCAGCACTATGATAAACCTCAGGCGACGGCTTGTAAGCACCGAAATGCTCTGCACTGGTGATATGCTTGAAAGGCAAAGAATTGTGTTCTTGTAGGTCTTCGAGAAGTTTTACATTACCATTGGATAATGTAGATGTCAAGAATTTATTGTTTAGTAACGAAAGGCCTGGCACACTGTCAGAGTATGAGTCGAGTCGATGCCAAGCGAGTGTCAAACTTTTGAGGTCGTCCTCGTTAAAGAGACCCCAGAGAAGCCGTTTGGTGAGAATATTTTCCAAAGAAATGCGGTTGTACTCGTCCACTGAGACAAAGGGCTTAGATGTATCGTAGGTGTCTCCGAAGTTCATATATGAGCGATGCCACTCCTCAGCGATCTCCTGCCAGCTCGAAGTGGACATATCTGAGACACGTGCTCGCACATCGGCATTCAGATATCGAACTTCGTCTTGTACAGCCCTTCGTGCTGTGGCATTCAGTTCGTTCGCGATGCAAAATCTCCATTCCACGATTGTCCCCAGGACATCGAAAAATATCATCGAAGGGAAACCTTCTCGTGACATCTCCGTCGAAGCTTCTTTGCGAGGTACCAAAGAATGAAGGGTTTGTAGACTATACCTGAAAGTATAGCAAATCCCTTGTCAGTCAGTCAGTGATAGAAACACAAGGGAACCTAAAGAAAAAAACCAGATGGCTTTACCGTCAGGAGCTGGTGTAACGTCGACATGATACTCTTGCAATGAGATTAGGCTTTCTTAAATGTCGACACCGCTGAACATCCACTCTTTCCATCAACCTCGGGGCGGGTTATGCTTAGGGTCGCATGTGGTTGGCACGTGGAAAATCCCACAAGGCCGTCGGGTATTGCGGTCTCGGAATATTTGGTAAGGCGCCGAAACTACCTAGGTACTTAGGCAGTCAAATAAATCGACCTCGGCGCTCCCCATGGGCTGTCCATTACCCCCTGCACTAGAACCTGAATGTGTCATGGCTTCCACCAAGCCCCCCAACATCCCTGTCGTGGACTTTGCTGGCTGGAACACAGAGTCCAGTCGTCAGCAAATCGCGCAAGATATCGTCGCTGCCTGCAAAAAAGTGGGATTTGTATACATCGCCAACCACTCATTGCCGGAATCGATGTTAGACGAAGCATTCAACTGGTCAAAACTATTCTTCGAACTACCACAGGACGAGAAACTCAAAGCGCCCCATCCAGAGGGATGGGCGGTTCACAGAGGGTACTCTTGGCCCGGGCTGGAGAAGGTGTCACAGGCGATGAGTACTGGTAATGACAAGGAAAGGGTGGGCCAGCTGAGGGAGGTTACAGACACTAAAGTGAGAACGCGCTGTGTTTGTCCATTATCTCATACCTCCCAGTCGGCACCGAGTTCATCTATGTATAATTTTGTGCTTCATTGACCTGCCACAGGAAAGCTATGACATAGGAAGCGACGAGAATACTACCCAGCCTAATCAATGGCTGCCCGAACACAGCCTCCCCGGATTCCGTGACTTTATGCGCCGCTTCTACTGGGAGTGTTTCCGTGTCGGGGGGGAGGTCCTACAAGCGCTGACTGTTGGCTTGCAGCTAGATGAGAATCATCTGCTCAAGAAACACTCGGGTCATAACAACCAGCTGCGCCTACTACATTACCCGCCTATTCCGGCTGAAGCAATTGAGACAGAGCGCGCAGCCAGATGCCCCGCACATACCGACTGGAGTTCGATCACCTTGCTGTTTCAAGATGACTGTGGTGGGTTGGAAGTCGAGGATATTTCATCACCGGGGACATTTGTCTCTGCAATGCCTATCAAGAATGCAATTGTGATGAATGTGGGGGATCTTTTGCAGAGGTGGAGTAATGGTTTGTCACTTGGTATGCTTCTTGTCTGTTCTTAAAGCTGACCTGTATAGATCTTCTGAGGTCTACCAGCCATCGAGTCACTTTGCCGCCTCTTCCTGATCGATTCGAAGGACCTGATAGTATGACCCGTAGGCGGTTCTCTATTCCGTATTTCATGTCACCGGATTCTGACTCGGTGATTGAATGTATTCCATGTGTCGGAGAAGTTGCTGCAAAGTATGAGCCGATCACACAGGCCGAATACAACCAAATGAGGGCTTCTATGCAGTACTGAAAGTAGTATCAATTATTGACTTTCTTTATTCGAAAATAATCTCATTGGTCACTTTTCCTCGATTCGTCTAGAACTGAGGCCATTGTGCTCCTTCCACCTTCCACCTTCCAGCTTTCTTTGCATTTTCCCCTCCTCTTTGGCCATCTTCTGTGAAACTTCAACCCTTCACAGTATTCTATGTATTACTGTCACTTCCAATGTACTCCTCATCTATCTCTTTCGGAGATCAAGAGCGACTCTATACTTGACCTTGGCGCCGATCACTCCACCTGACTAAGAGCCAATCTTGGCGCCCGCCAAAATGGATCAAAGTCGCGTCCCTCACCAGGACCCCGACCGCGTGGCCACCATGTACGGCGAACTCGGCAACAAATTGGTACGTGGGCTATAGATTTATCCCGCTCTTGGGTGTTCACCATCCCAAACCCAACACCGACCACTAAACAGCAAAACAAGAGGAAAACGCAACCCGCTGACCAACACCTCACCCGCGATAGGTCCAACACGCCAAACGCACCCAATCCCTCGCCCATCTACCCCCCTACCAAACCGAGATCGTGCGCGCAGTAACCCGCGAAGTCCGCGATCTCGACCGCGATGTCAACCGTCTCCTAGAGCCTTTTGAGGGAGGGTTCAACCCTTCGGCCGACCCAGCTGTCGCCTGTGCACTACTCGTCGACCACCTGTGCATGCGCCGAAACAAGCGCTGCCTGCTCGCGTATCACCGCGTGCGCACAGAGAAGCTCGAGGAGCTCTGCTGGACGGGAGTGGATATCCTTGAGCAGCAGCAGCCGTCCGAGGACAGTGGGGCGGCTCAGCACACGGCTCTCGGTGCTAGCGGGCATAGCTCGCTGAGCCCCGAGGAGGAGGAGTATTTTCGCCAATATGGGGATATGCTTGCTGCGTATAAAGGGCAGTGGACGGATATTGATTTGACGGGGACACTGGAGCCGCCGAAGGATTTGTTTATTGATGTGCGGGTGTTGAAGGATGCTGGTGAGATTCAGACGGAATACGGGTATGTTCTTTCCTTTTTGGCTTTCTGATATTTTTCTGGATATCTGGCTAATTTTGGTTTAGTGTGATCAACTTGACCAAGAACAGTCAGCTGTATGTTCGTCAGGGTGATGTGGAGCGGCTGATTGCTCAGGGTTTCCTAGAGCGATTGACTTGAATTGAGTCGGAACTGCCTGGCTTCTTCAGGTTCTATATGAGTACAAGAAACATGAATTGGCGTTGGCTATCTACGGTGGTTTTATGAAGGGACCATGTACTTTGAGATACCCCCGCCGTTAGCGTGTCTAGACCTAACGGCCAAAATGATTTTCTGCATTGCAACAGTGTGCCACCAGTCTGATTATGTATGACCGCTGGTTTAGCTTTCTTTTTTTTCGAATTTGGCTAGATTGGTATATGGTAAAAGACCCATCGAGGCAGACCTAGATGCAATTTAGATGATCGCCTTGGAAAGGCGACAAAGAATTCACCCACAGGCGTGTAAGATGTCCGAAGCTAAGCAGACTTTTAGGCAAGTATTGTCTGATGACTATATCCATGGGTAGCTCATTGGCTTATGGCGTTGTGCAAGGAAATGAGAATGCTGAGGCTGCTATATAAT